CGTCGAAAATTGTTTGCATTTAAAGAGGAGGCTTTATTGCTTCCAATTGAAGAAGGGGACATCCATTAGTGATCACATAAACCACTACACGAAGCTACTTGCAGATTTGGCAAATGTGGATGTTATAGTTGAAGATGAAGACAAGACATTGTTGTTATTGAGTTCCTTACCCGACGAGGAATATGAGACCTTCGTCCTCATTCTTATTAATGAGAAGGCATCTCTTTCGTATAGTGAGGTCACCGCAGTCCTTGTGAACTATCAACTTCGAAAGAAGGACAAGGAGACTTCCATTGAGCCGGTTACGGGGGCATTGGTTGCAAGAGCTAGAAGTCCAAACCATGGTAGGAGGTCGCATTCTAGAGGGGGGCATCCTGCAGTTGGCAGGAATCAGTGTCTTTTGTAGAGAGGATGGACATTAAAAATCCGAATGCCTAAAATTGCAAGCCTTGAAGAATAAAGGGAAAGCTGTTCAAGCTTCAGAGGTGAATGTTGCCAAGGCTAGTGGTGACATTTCAGATTCAGATTCTTCAGGCTATTCATGCCCAGCTCTTCCGTCAGTTGGTGTTGCCGACTCCACCGAGTGGATGTTGGATTCGGGTGCTACTTATCACATATGCCCTAAGAGGGATTAGTTCTCCAGCTTTCAGGAGTTGGAAAGAGGGGATGCTGTACTTATGGGTAATGATCACAGATGCACTATTGGTGGTATTGGTACTGTTCGTATTCGGACGAGTGACGGGATGATTCGGGAGTTGGTTGATGTGAGGTTTGTTCCTCAACTGAGGAAGAACATCATTTCACTTGGGGTATTGGAGGCATCAAGCTATAGGATGATCTTGGCGGATTCTCGTTTGAAGGTCACATCGGGGTCCATGATTGTGATGAAGGGCGTCAGGAGGAGTAACTTGTATTATCTGCTTGGGAGCATGGTGGTGGATAGAGCGCTGACGACTTCTTTGGCTAGACTGTGGTATTGGTTGGTGCTGGGGTATATTATTGGTTATGCTGTGTATAGATTGTTGAGGAGTGCTATGACCTGCAGATTGAAGTCCTATGAGCACATTGGGATGAGTGAGGAGACCAAGATGGAGTTCAGCACTTCTATCCATCGATGGAGTGGTCTTATGTGAGGTGTTCAGTCAGGCATTGGAGGGCCTTCCATGGAGGCATCAGTGGGAGGTAATCGCTATTTGTTTCTTATGTTGAGGATTGTACTAGGCATATATGGGTTGAAACCAAGTCCCGTTGGTCTGAAGCCCTAGTAGTCCGCAACAGTTGGAGGAGGTGTATGGGCAGAAATATTACTCGTCGTGCTAGTTCTAGTAAGGATTCTTTCGTGCATTGGTGCCGAGCTCATGGTAGTTGGAGGTACTTCAGAGGAGAGGAGACAGTGGGGCGACGTGATGAGATGGCGAATTTATTGGGCCGTTCTTTTCTGGAGGAGGATCGGCGTTGGTTGTCGAGCAGTGGATTTGATATTCGGGCTTTGACACAATTGGGCTATCTTATGAGGTTGCCGACTGCTGCGTGTAGAGTTGTTAGATCTGGTGGAGCTGCTTCAGATTTTGGTCGGCGTCGGATATTTGGCTACCCAGCACTTGGTCACATCATTGATGTGAGATTGGATTCGATTGCGCATTTGGGATTCAGGAGTTCATTCGGCTATCAGTTGGGAGCTTCTGAGTTAGGTCTGAGCAGGTTTGTCACTTTGTACTCTTGGTAGGTAGAGAGTATTGAACAGATCAGAGGGATACCGCAGCGGATGGAGGTTGATGCTACTCCATATCGGGTGGAGGTTATTCCACATACTTCATGTCATTTTGCTTTAGTTGGGATTCTGGCTGAGGTGACACAGTTTGGGGATCAGATTGTTCAGGATGTAGATGACGAGTTGGTAGATCCGTGTGCAGCTGGTGGATATAGCTTGGATATAGCCATTGGTTCACCTCAGGTGGAGGTGTTTGGATCGTTTCAGTATGGGGCCGTTAGTGATGCTATCAGTCGCGCATTGGATGCTGGTATTGGTGAAGAGTTGAAGACTCTTCTTTTGCATTGAGGACCTTTGGAGGCCATTGGGTGAACTATGTGAAGGCTTGATTCCTTGGAGAGGATACGTAGGCAGTCAACTATGATGCAGCCAATTTGGTGAGTAGACACAGTTGTTTTGGGGTGAGTGTTCGCACTCCCGTTTGGGTCTCGACATGTTGTGGATGGGGGTCCGTTGTCATAAGTCCGTTATCATGGCGTACTGAATGCAACAAGCGAGGCATTGGTTTGGTTGGTGTCGGCTCAGTTTGGAAGAATCTTCGCCGAGGTGAAGATTTGTAGAAATGGCAGGATTCAGACAGACAGATTGGCGATCGACCGCGGCGGTCGACCGCATTCGTGCACGAGACTTACTGGGCGTCAGGATTGGTGGAGGTCGACCGCGACGGTCGACCGCGACGGTCAATCTGCCGCGGTCGCCCGCAGAAGTCTCTGGACCATTGGGGCTGTTCTGGATTGAGGACGGTCGACCGCGACGGTCGACCGCGATGGATCGCGGTCGACCGCCGAAGCGGTTTGGGCTGGGTCTGTTTTCCAGACCCGTTTCGTTTGGTTTTTCTATAAATACCCAAACTCGATTTTAGGGTTTGAAAGGCAAGTGTTTTGAGCTGTTGAAAGGAGTTTTCTTTGGGCTTCTATTCTAGGAGTAATTGGAGAGATTGAGAGTTGATTTGTTGAGGGTTTATGAGAGATTTGTAACCCTAGTTTGTTCCTCTTGATTTCTAATAGTAAAAACTCCCCCTTCCTTGCCCGGTGGACGTAGGCATCTCGTCGAACCACGTAAAATCTGGTGTTTGATTGTTTGTGCTATCTTTTGGTTGTGTGGTTTATCTTTTTCGGCTATTTGGTTGGATCTCGGCATAGGGGTTTCTCCCCAACAGTTAACCCATGATTACAAGAATACCCCCTCCCTCCCTCCCTCCCTCCCTTAGAATGAGATGTGTTATTTAAAGACACCCCTGACTTACTCGTCAAGTCAACTTGGCCTCCAAGAAAACTACTAGGACCAGGCCTAGCCTTCAAACAACTTAGAGTTTGAGTTGGCGCCCAACATAAACAACATCATCTGACAAATTTCAAATGAAAAGTGTATAGCAGTATGTTTGTATATCTAGTTATCCATATATACTTATGGGTATAGCACGCACGCGCGCGCGCACACACACATCAAATGAACATTTGATAATCAACTGAATGATATGTGGATGTCCATGTTCATTCATTCAGTAAACTAGTATCTCAGTGCACGCAATGCATGCATGAAACAGAGACGGGTGATATGCTGATCTGTTTGTTGACTTTTGTTGATTTGTTGATTTATCCAAGTTTGAGGGTATTTTGGTTGATTTCGTCCGAGTGTGAGCATTTTAGTTTATCTTTCTAAAGTGTTATTTTCTAAAAATTTCCAAGTGTGAAGGGCATTTTCTGGATTCTAAAAATGTGGGCCACAAACCGAATCCAAATGGAATTTGAACAGTTTTTAAGTGAATAACTGTTGAAATATTTGACAATTATTTAATCATCTATCTCCCCAATCCTAACTGCATCAAATAGGGCAAATTTTGAAAACAGGCTCTTTTGTAAAAATATTCCCCAAAAAAGACCCGTTTTGAAAATATTCGCAAAAAACAACCTAGTTTCGGACCTGAGGCTGAAACTGGGTTGTTTTTTGCAAAAAAAGTTCTCAAACTTCACGGGAGTTGAACTCCCGTGAAGTTTTTTACATAACAAAACTTCACGGGAGTTCAACTCCCGTGAAGTTTGGGAACTTTTTTCCCAAAAACTGACCCAGTTTCAACCCTGAAACTGAAACTAGATCGTTTTTTAAAATAAAGTGGAAACGAGTCTTTTTTGGGAATATTTTTACAAAAGGGTCTGTTTTCAAAATTTGTCTGCATCAAATATCTCATCCTTTTCTTGAATGGTTGACCCAAACAGCCCAAATTTTGAGTCCCTTAAACACTACCCATCACAAAATCAACATCGTTAATAATAATAATAAAAGACATAGATAATTACCTTGATTTTCTTCTGATCAATCCAATCATTCTCCAAGTGGAGCTTAATCTCCTCTTCAATACCCCCCACATACTTTTTAAGCAACTCAGGCCTCAAAAACTCACCAACTGCACCTCTAACTCTCTTATGATCATCCCCAGACAATTCCAACATATTCCTCCTCCCAATAAGCCTGGGTATCGATTTGGGCTGCCGAGGCACTAAAGCCTCGTTGGAGAATACCAATTTATTAGCAGCTGGACCGGTTACAAACACAGTCGGAGCGCCGAAGAGTGTGAGCTTTGAAATGGGCCCGTACTTTTGAATTCTTTGGGCTAGCCAGTCTTCCGCCCTGTTGGCCCGCATGGCCCGTAGAAGGCTACTTTTGAATTCTTTGGGCTAGCCAGTCTTCCGCCCTGTTGGCCCGCATGGCCCGTAGAAGGCCCAGGCTGTCGCCGATGTACGGGATGCCTAGAGAGCCAGGAGGGAGCTTTTCACGGGTGGTTCTGAGTTTTGTCAGGAGATAGAGGAGAGGGAGTAAAGAGAGAAGGAGAAGGATTAATGGAGTCATTTTTGGGAGAAAATGGAAGAGAGAATTGGGATGTTTAAAGAGAGTATTTGGTCAGCGATTGGGGATTTAAGAGTGCATTTCCAGTTTTAATGGGTTTGAGTCGAGCAAGATAGTTTAATATTGGACAAATTTTGAAAATCGACTTTTTTTTAAATTTAATAGGCAAAATCGACCGTGTAATAATAAAATGAGCAAAATCGACCCTTTTTTGCACGGGACTGCTAGTCCCGTGCAAAAAAGGTCGCTTCCGCAAAAAAAATTCTCCGGTCCTCAACCCATCCCCTCATTCCCTCTCTCTCTCTCCCCTTCATTAACCCATCCCTCATCTCCGTTCCCTCTCTCTCTGCAAAAAAAATTCTCCGGTCCTCCAATACCACACCAGACCCCTCTCTCATCTCCGTTCCCTCTCTCCATCTCTCCTCCCTCTCCCTCAAACCCAACAGCAACCCATCACCCCTTCTCTCTCTCCTCCATTCCCCAAACGCCCCTCCTCCATCGCCATCGGGCCGCCCAAGCCGCGCCCACCTCCTCGACCTACACCCGACCACCTCCCTGAGCCCAAGCTCCGACCCGAGCCCCCCTCTCCCTCCAATCCCCTTCTCCACCGCCTCCTCATCATCTCCACCACCATCAGCCCCGACGCCGCCGTGAGCTCAACTCCACCTCCTCCGCCAGCTCGCCGCCGCCGCTGTCCTCCGTTCCCCTCAGCCCCGACCATGCTACCACCCGCCGCCACGTCGAGCCGCGCCACCACCCAAGCCCTCCCCCCCGAGCCCCCCCCCCTCTCCCTCCAATCCCCTGCTCCACCGCCTCCTCATCATCTCCACCACCATCAGCCCCGACGCCGCCGTGAGCTCAACTCCACCTCCTCCGCCAGCTCGCCGCCGCCGCTGTCCTCCGTTCCCCTCAGCCCCGACCATGCTACCACCCGCCGCCACGTCGAGCCGCGCCACCACCCAAGCCCTCCCCCGCTGTCCAGTGAAGGTGTCGGTGCTGGTGGTGCAGCAGTGCAGGGGGATTTGGGAGGAGAGTGTTGGGGGGATTTGGGGGAGGAGGGTTGATTTTGATTTTTTTAGCAGGATCGTCTTTTTTTTGGTGTGGGATTGGAGGAGAGGGAGAGAGAGATGGAGAGGGGATGGGTTAATGAAGGAGAGAGAGAGAGAGGGAATGAGGGGATGGGTTGAGGACCGGAGAATTTTTTTTGCGGAAGCGACCTTTTTTGCACGGGACTAACAGTCCCGTGCAAAAAAGGGTCGATTTTGCTCATTTTATTGTTATACGGTCGATTTTGCCTATTAAATTTAAAAAAAGTCGATTTTCAAAATTTGTCCTTTAATATTACATTGATGAAGACAGTACGGGAATCTCAGCAAATTAGAGAGTGAGAGCTGCCTAAATTGCTAGAGGACAAAAATGATCAATTGGCAGGTTGAGCTGACATGCCATGACCAAAATTTGGAAAATGATACACTCCCTCTCTTGCTACAGTATACTGTGCTCCACATTAATTTTTTAAAAAAAACTCAGGTAGGTCCTAATACACTGTAGCCAGAGTAAAAAAAACTTATGTGGAACCTAATATACTGTAGCAAGAGAGGAAGTGTGGGAGTGACTGAGGGTATGCCTGAGAGTGTGCCTAGTGTGCCTCTCCCAAAATTTATACTTCTACTTATACTACTATCCGGTAAGCGCGATGCGTGCATGACTTGAAAATGTGAGGGTGTTTAGTTTGATTTTTGCGAAAGTAAAAATATTTTATGTTGGGTGATGTTTTTTGCGAGTTTAAAAGAGTGTTGAAATAAGATTATATGAATGCTTTCCTTGAATTTTTAAAAAAATTGACACATAAACCAATAGCTTGGCTTTCTTTAAATATATAGGATAGATATGAAATATGATTATTTATGTTGTTAGATGGAATCACCTAGTGGCATCAATTCTATAATTTTCAAAGAAATGGCATTTGGACTGTTGCTCAAGAGAAGAACTTATAAAACCACCATTTATAATATTTAGGTATCTAATTTCAGTCATTTAGTTTTCAATCTACAAGTGTCTTTTAATAGTTTTTAGATTTGGTGCTATGATTTTAATTTTATTTTATTTTATTTTTTATTTTATTATTATCCTATTATTTTATTACTGTTTTATTTTTTATTTTTTGATAAGGATTTGGTGCTATGATTTGAACATTGGTTCAACAAAATTAAGAACCAAACCATTCTCAGCACTGATCTTAGCATATTATAATTGCATTTGCAAATTTCTGATCAGTTTAATAGGTGGAATTCTTAAATAATATGCTTAAGGTAAGAATACACATCAAGCACATAGCCATCATCTAAGGTAGGAAATAAAGAGAAAATTTAAGGATGAAAGCACACAGAATAATGCCATACACATATCGATAAGCATAAGCCAGCTTTAGGACTTCCGATGAATAAACACAAGAGAATCCCATCACTTTTTTTTTCCTTCTACCGATTCAAACACCAAATACATACCGTGTAAAGCCTTCTAAACATTAACGTATAGTAACACAATCCTTTAAGCACTAATACAACCATGAATCATACACATCGAAAACCTAATTCATGTAAGCCTCGTTACTTGGTCATAGTACATCAAATGTCTCGGATGCAGCGTTTAGTCAGCTTTAGCTGGAATATGGTTACCACCCATTGCAATTTTGTAGAGGTAGAACAGAGTCATGACCGCACTGCAAGAGAATAGAGAATACGTCAGCTTATTGAAAAGGGAACACAATGCGCCTGCGCCTGCAATAAGAAACTCTTGGTATCAAATATCTGCTAGTCTTACCTACACCTATAGTTTGAAAACCAAATCAGTATTGTCTGTTGGTTCAGAGACCGGAGTCAAATTGGTGATTTAAAGATTCCTAAAAAAAAAGTAAAACATAGAAATCTACCTGAAAATGGGGCACCAATGCTTTCAATTTGCTAACCATAAACAGCTTAGTCACACAGCACGGTTATCCCATGCTGGGTACATTGCTAATTAATGAACAGTTGATAAGGTTTTCTTAGTGCTTCTTGATGTGTGTTCTGGCATTTTCTGCAACCATCCTAATTCGTGTCCCTCAAGCACCAAATATTAAGGAAATTAAAATGTAATGCAGGAGAAGGATCTTTCTCAGCTTAAGCAAATAATTACCCTCCTATGATTTTTCTGGTTTATTTAAGGTACAAATTTCTTATGGCTCGTGGAAATGCTCACCATACCGAAGGAAGTGTTATGAACTGAAATAAGGAACTCCAGTTAGCTCACTTTTTTTTTAAATCTCCTTTCTGTTTAATCTTCTTCAACAAAATTGTAGCAAGGAAGTCCAATCTGAAGAAACAATTGTGAGGGAACGTGACTGTCTACACAAGTCTAACTACAATCCAGCTAATCACCAGCCGCAAATACTTAAGATAATGCACAACAAAGCTACAGAGATGTGATGTTTTAACAAATCCTTTCTTATAACAAACTCATATAAGATTCAGAAAAATCTTAAAAGCTGCTACACATAGGAACCTATTAAGATGAAATGGCTGTGGATGAACAAAGACATGGAGAAGAAAATATGAAGGGAGAATGGAAAAATAAAGAAACAATCAACAACACTGACCTGAGGGCAGCAACAACTCCAGCTGGCATTATCTTGGACGTTTGAAGATATCTTTGCCCCATGATAAATGTTAATGTCAGCGAACAAACTGTACCACACACAATCATTCCCAGAAAAAGATTAGACATTAGAAAAGAGGCAAAATGTAATCAAATAGAAACAAACATAACACAGAAAGGAACAGAGTGGATTCTTGATTTTCATGAATGGGAAAAAAAAACAATAGCCAATTAACAAGAGCATAAGAACCACAAGAATAAAGAGAAAATGGGATTGTTAAAACAGCTGACTCAATAAGAAGTAACACTACTATTTTATCCAGATAAACTGTTCAATTCAATAGGACTGACAGTGGTTTTAACTAACCAACCAACTTCATTCAGAATTTCAGTTCAAGGAGGACCTAGACTAGAAACACATTTTTCGTGGCCATTGAATAATCCATTGGCATCATAATTTTGACAAGTAAAAACTTAAATTTAATGATTCATTTGAATACAATAGCAACAAAGTTGGTAATATCTAATCAAGGTTGGTTTAGGTGGATTTTTTAGCTTATGTATGTGTTTACCCAACAAGTAACTACAAAAAAGAGAAAAGGGCTTTCTCTAGTCTCAGTATCTGTACTACCAGGATGGACATTGGAGGTTTACACTCAAAGGAAATTCCCCTGATGTCATCAGAGCACTCTGGTGAATTGGACAAGCAGGAGATCCTTTGATAGCTGATTGGAAGAAACTTGTTGGCTCCCATGTGGAATGCCATATTTCACAAGGTCTAGTAGAAATCAACCAAATGAAGTGGCAAGATGAGACACAAAGGTTCAGACATGCATAATCTACATTTTCGTACTGGGTTTAAGAGATGCCCCTAAGAAAGACTTTCTTGAGTCTTTTTGTAGCCAGCACTCCTCATTCAGATATTATCCAAGGTGGGGAAAAATGCAGTTCATTTTAATTTGAATGCTATAATATTCTATAAAGAAAGCGCCACCCTAATGGTGATTGACATCTAATTAAAATAATAAAAAAATCAGATCACAATTTTTCAAGAAGAACTCCAATAACCTGTAAATGGCTATTTTATACACAATTTTTTTGTTTGAATATTTTCATTTATTTCAAGTAATTAATTGGTCATACCAAAAGAAAATATACTATAGTAGTTTGATTATAGTAGATACTATTTGATGAAAGAAATAAAACATAGTTAGAACACTCAATATGCCATTCGCAATGTACATCTTAAAAAATCCATAATGATTAAGCATTAAATAGCGAGTTAAAAATCACCAAGTGTTATCAGGAAATATAATGGAAATATATAAAATATGGTCACTAAAAAAGGAAAAAAGTTAGAGCTTTGAACAATAGCTATTGCTCGCAGAAATTTGCGAAAGATTACTACTTACATACAAACAACTGCAACACCACAGCAAATTGTTTCCGTTGCAAATATACACACTAAAATTGTTTGCAGTGT